ATGGAGACTCTCACGCCGCGGCCTAACCCCTGCACCGCGCTGCGCCACGGGTCGACAGAGCACGCTCCTCTCCCAGGTGCCACGCCGCGGCAGACTCGTGCACCACGCCGTGCTTCCACAGCCACATAAAAGTTGAGCAAGATTCGGAGAAACTGATCACTCTTGTGAATAAATTAAAAAATTAGGAAAATTTTCAGAGTTTGACAAATTTTGAGAATTGAGATAATAGTTAAATTTGGATCCATATGGTATTTGTTGGAAATTAGGAAAAATGAAATAGATGATAAAAATTAACAAGATACGATTAGGGAAAAAGTAAAAAGAGAGATATCGATTGTGTTCCAAAACATATCAATGTGGTTTGTATTTATAGAGAATGCAAAAATACGAATTTTGGCATATTTATTTATTTTATATAAATTATTAGTATTATTTTAATTATCCATAATGTTATCTAAAAATTATGTCACTCAAAAGAAATAGGACACTTGTATGATTTCATCCACTTAAATAGGTTGCAACCAATGTCAATCTTTGACATGAGTTGTTGTTGATTTTCAAGTATTTTTATTTATTTTTTATTTTTGTTTGTTTGTCCTTTGTGCACGACCCGGTTGAGGGTCGTGAATAAAGATACGCAGGAGCTTGTAATTTTACGTATCACACTAGTTTAAAATGAATAACTAAAATTGCATATACATTAATTAGTATTGTAGACATCGAAATTTTAATATTTTATTGATTAATGTCTTTATTTATTTTTGGGACATAAATCCAAGATAAATAAGATATTTAATTAATAAAGTAATTGTTTATTACCCACCAAGTCAAATCTTAGGATAAGGAAAGAGATTATATCAAATTTTAGGATAAGGAAATAGATTATATCAAATCAAGAAGGACCAATCAAATTGATGTCTTCTTTCTCAAGACTCTTTCTCAAGACTCTTTCTCCTACACCTATAAATAGGGCTCTCCTCAATGCAACACCTCAAACACCTAAAAAATATCAAACACATCTCAAAGATTAAAGTCTCAAATTCAAGGGCTCTCAAGAATTCTCTTGAAGATTTGAAGAAGTTCTTGAAGAACCGCTTGAAGTCCATTCAATGAAGAGGAAGGCCAAGAAGAAGAAAGAGACGGCGACTCTTCCCCAAGAATTAAATAGACGACTTCCACTCCTCTCAAGCCAATCCAAGAATATCAACGACGTTCAAGCGACATTCAAGGCTCGTTCGTTGAGAAGTCCAAGTAACATAGCGTTTGATTCGAGAAAAAAGCTATCAAGCCCTAGAGTCAACGTTATTCAAGTCAAAGTCCATCTTTCCAAAAGATCAAAGAAACAAGTTCTCCAAGAAGTTTTCTTCAATCAAGTCAAAACCTAGCATTTAATACGGGAATAAGTCATTCGACCCCCAAATTAATGTTAGAGAAATTTAAGACCAAGCCTAAAGGAGGTTCAATCGTTCAATCCATCTTTCAAGATCTCAAACTCAAATTCATGAACAGAAGAATCAGAGGAGATATATAGAGATTGTACCAGCATATCGTTTGATCGAAATAAAATCAAGTTGTACAAAAGTTTTATATTTTTCATAAAATTTGTTGTTACAAATTTGGCACGCCCGGTGGGACTCCATAAAATTTGTTGTTACAAATTGTAGACATCGATATTTTAATATTTCATTAATTAATGTCTTTATTTATTTTCAGACATAAATCCAAGATAAATAAGATATTTAATTAATAAATTAATTATTTCTTGCCCACTAAGTCAAATCTTAGGATAAGGAAAGAGATTATATCATTTCTTAGGAGAAGGATAGAGATTATGTCAAATCATGAAAGACCAATCAAATTGAAGTCTTCTTCTCAAAGACCTCTCTCTCCTACACCTATAAATAGGGCTCTTCTCAATGCCACAAATCACACCTAAAAAATATCAAACACATCTCAAAGATTAAAATCTCAAATTCAATGGCTCTCAAGAACCCTATTGAAGATTTTAAGAAGTTCTTGAAGAACTGCCCGAAGTCCATTCAATGAAGAAGAAGGCCAAGAAGAAGAAAAAGAGGCGGTGACTCTTCCCCAAGAAGTAAAGAAACGACTTCCACTCCTCTCAAGTCAATCCAAGAATATCAACGACGTTCAAGCGACATTCAAACCCCGTTCGTTGAGAAGTTCAACCAACATAGCGTTTGATTCGAGAAAAAGCTATCAAGCCCTCGAGTCGACGTTATTCAAGTCAAAGTCCATCTTTCCAGAAGATCAAAGGAACAATTTCTTCAAAAAGTTGTCTTCAATCAAGTCAAGACCTAAAATTTACGAGAATAAGTTATTCGACCCCCAAATTAATGTTAGAGAAATTCAAGACCAAGCTCAAAGGAGATTCATTCGTCAAATCCATCTTTGAATGTCTCAATCCCAAATTCATGAAGAGAAGAATCAGAGGAGATAAATAGAGATTGTACCCGCATATCGTTTGATCGAAATAAAATCAAGTTGTACAGAAAATTTATGTTTTTCATAAAATTTGTTGTTACAAATTTGGCACGCCCAGTGGGACTCCATAAAATTTGTTGTTACAAATTTGGCACGCCCGGTAGGACCTTCTCTACCTCTCATCTCTTCTCTCCAAATTAAGTTCGAAGATCTTTGAAGATGCATGAAGATCTCTTTGAAGAAAATATACATGGGGGCAATGAAGAATGTGTCTTCCGAAGCCATGAAGCATGGGGGCAATTCACACGAAGAGCTCCATCAAATATTCAAATGATCCTTAATATGAGCCGAAACTATCTACATATTCAAATGCTCCTTGATATGAGCCTAAACTATCTACATATTCCAATACTCCTTGATATGAGCTTAAACTATCTACATATTCAAATGCTCCTTGATATGAGCCTAAACTATCTACACATACAATGCTCCTTGATATGAGCCTAAACTATCTACATATACAATGCTCCTTGATACGAGCCTAAACTATCTACATATTCAAATGCTCCTTGATATGAGCCTAAACTATCTACATATACAATGCTCCTTAATACGAGCCTAAACTATCTACATATTCAAATGCTCCTTGATATGAGTCTAAACTATCCACATATTCTAATGCTCCTTGATATGAGCCTAAACTATCTACATATTTCAATGCTCCTTGATAAGAGTTTAAACTATCTATATAGCTCCTTGACATGAGCATAAAACGTCTACAAAAATAAAGATCTCCTTGACACGAGAATAAAATGTATGCAAGTCAAATATCGAAGGCTCTTTGACACGAGCATAAAACATCTACATATCAATCTTGAAGGCTCCTTGACACGAGCATAAAATGTCTACATATCAAGATCTCATTGACACGAGAATAAAAGGTCTACATATCAAGAACTCCTTGATACGAGTATAAACTATCTTCAAATCAAGTCAAATGAAGAACTCCTTGACACGAGTTTAAACTATCTACAAATTAATTAAAATGAAGAACTCCTTGATACGAGTATAAACTATCTACAAATCAAGTCAAATGAAGAACTCCTTGATAGGAGTTTAAACTATCTGCATGTCCAAACCAAATTCAAAATTTTGAAACTCATTCACTACCAAGACATTGTGTCCGTGAACAAGTTTCAAGGAGGCATTTGTAGACATCGAAATTTTAATATTTTATTAATTAATGTCTTTATTTATTTTGAAACATAAATCCAAGATAAATAAGATATTTAATTAATAAATTAATTATTTTTTGCCCACCAAGTCAAATCTTAGGATAAGGAAATAGATTATATCATTTCTTAGGAGAAGGATAGAGATTATGTCAAATCATGAAGGACCAATCAAATTGAAGTATTCTTCTCCAAGACCTCTCTCTCCTACACCTATAAATAGGGCTCTCCTCAATGCCACAAATCACACCTCAAATACCTCAAAAATATCAAACACGTCTCAAATATTAAAGTCTAAAATTCAAGGGCTCTCAAGAACCTCTTGAAGATTTGAAGAAGTTCTTGAAGAACCGCCCGAAGTCCATTCAATGAAGAAGAAGACCAAGAAGAAGAAAAAGAGACGGCGGCTTCAAGAAGTAAAGAGACGACTTTCACACTTCTCAAGTCAATCCAAGAATATCAACGACGTTCAAACGACATTCAAGCCGCGTTCGGTGAGAAGTCAACCAACATAACGTTTGATCCAGGAAAAAGCTATCAAGCCCCCGAGTCAACGTTATTCAAGTCAAAATTCCTCTTTTAAAAAGATCAAAGAATCGAGTCCTCCAATAAGTTGTCTTCAATCAAGTCAAGGTCTAACATTTAATACGGGAATAAGTCATTCGACCCCCAGATTAATGTTAGAGAAATTCAAGACCAAGCCCAAAGGAGATTCATTCGTCAAATCCATCTTTGAAGGTCTCAATCCCAAATTCATGAAGAGAAAAATCAGAGGAGATAAATAGAGATTGTACCCGCATATCGTTTGATCGAAATAAAATCAAGTTGTACAAAATTTTATATTTTTCATAAAATTTGTTGTTACAAGTATATATATCAAATTGTCAACCATTGTATAATACAATGTCAATACCATTATGTAGCATCGTTCACAATAAAGTGGGTGAATGAAATGAGGAAAAAACTTCCATTTTTAAATCTAAATAAAAAACAGAAAAAGAAATTACACCAACGAGTTCAATGATTTAAGTACTGTAATTTTAAATTTTATTGCATTTTTAGTTCCAAATGATTGAAATTGTGTTGAATTTTAAAATCGTAAGACCAAACAACAAAAAATATTCAATTCTCAGGACTAAAAACACCACTGGATAAAACCAACATGACCAAATTTGCAATTTTACCTAATAATAATAATAATAATAATTATAATAATAATAATATGTCTTGTTGGGCTTTGTGCTCCATTGCGAGCAAGCCCATTACGAAGGCTCAGGGGACGAAGGGTAAACTGAAAAAACAAATAATAATAATAATAAAAAAAAGTACTCAGAAATCCCTTATTATTAGATTAGATTCTCTCTCCTATCGCCCTGCTCAACTTTGCTCGCTCGCTCGCTCGCTCGCCCACATACGATTTACTCACAAACTTCCTCTGTCTATACTCTCAATTACGCGCCAAAACAATAACAGGTTTATTTTTTTTTAAGTTTTCATTAACGATTTGTAATTTCATATTCCCCCCCTTTGCCTCTCCTTTTTTCCCTCCCTTTAGGGTTTGTTATCTCCTCCTCTGACCCCTCTTCTCATGGCTGCTCTGCCTCTCCCTCTATCTCTCTTGCTTGCAGGTCTGCGCGCCGATTTCTGCCTCGATACGACGCCGTTCTTGCGTGTTTTTGCATGTGCAGCAACCTCCCGTTCGGGGTTGGATGGAATCGGCCGCCGAGTTTGTTGGGTCGGGATCGGACGTTGTCGGTGAGAAGAGGGCGGCGGCGGAGGAGGATGTGGACGTGTTGAAGGAGGAGGGCTCGCCGCCCAAGAGAGTTAGGGGAGGGGTTGACCGGAGTCTGGTCGGGGATGTGAAGAAGGTGGCTGAGATGGTCCTCGTGCTGGCGGCGATGGGAAAAATGAGGGGCGGGAAGGGGCCCACTGACGTGGAGAAGGAATTGATGGTGGAGGCGCGAGGTAGGTTGGCCAGGGTTTGCGAGGGTTTTCCGCCCAAGGACGTGTTCCCCAGGGATGCTTTTGGGGGTGTGATTGAGGATTTGGGGCTCAATAAACTGAAGGAGCAAAGGCTAGGGTTTCGGCCTCCTAAAATGTCCATTGCGGAGAAGCTATTGGTTTCCAAAACAAAGGTTCGGCTTTATCTCTTGATCTTGAAATTCTGGATGGTACCTTTCATTCTTTCTCAGTGGTTCCTGATGGGAGTAGTCTCTTTTGACAACTGAAGAAATTTGTTTATGCTATATTTATATGTGAGATTTTCACTTGTAATGTCGTTTGATGGAAGTGAATGTGGGAGTTTTGTGCTTCCTAATATCTTGTAGGTTGTGGTGAAAGCCTTAAGAAGTCTGATTTATGGTGCATTTTATAAACGAAAACACCATATTCCTGAAGTACTGAAATATAAGTATTTCCCAGTTTTGGGTTTATTCAGAAGATTCGAGTACAAAATCATGATACATGTGCAATATGTTTATCTACGTCCCCCTACTAAGTATCAAACACCGGCTTGTTTCGACAAAATTAAGTTTCTTTTCAAATTTTTGCACACAACTATTGTGGTTTGTTTACAAAATGATCAATACTGGCACTATTCCAAAAGTTTTAGGCTAATATATGAATACATTTCTGCCCCAGATGAAATTTATCAATCGTCTTCAGTTCCATCGAAGGGTGCATTGTTATTTCTGCCATTTGTGGCCAACATAATGTTTGATTGGTTCAGATAACAGTTAACATCTCATCTGTGCTGTTAATGGCATGCCGATGCATGCTTGTGACACCTGTTTTACACTTGAAGTTCTATTCAATACATATTAGAGAGTGGAATTGAAAGAATATGTTTTGAATTTATCGTTGAGTTACTTCCTTTGATGATTCTTTTAGATGAAATCTGGCTAACAAGTCAGTTTGACGTGAGTAGAAAGCATAGAGATTAGAGGAAAAAGGTATTTGAAATTACTTCTAATGATGGTTGCCATGTACTTAAACAGTCGGACACAGTGTGGGCTGTGTTTGCTTTTCACTTGGAGGCTTTGGACTGTGATAGGTGTGGAGTTATTATTGTAATTTGGATTATGAAACACCGTAAATTTCATGATCTTCTTGTATGTAAAACTGCATTGCGTAGTAAACTTAAAAGATATCACATGGAAGAGAAGCTAGTTTACTATGTTTCCTTTCTTTTCTCGTTGCAGCTGCTTGGATCGTTCCAATTAGTGTCTGCATTGGTGCATGAAAACTTTTAACTAGGTGTTCCTGCAAAATGAAAGATAACATATTTCTGTAATAGTTGGGAATAAATGTTTACATTGTGAATCATATCGTTTGATTAAAATAATTTTGTTGAAATGTAGAGTTTATCCATTCCCATGCCACATAATCGTGCACTATGTGAAGTTGAGTAACTATACTTGGTTATAAGGAACAATGAGGGATAAATTGAGTTATTAAATGAATGACACGACACACACAATGAGGAATATATATATATATTTTTTTTGTTTTGTTAATCTATTTCATGTCTATGCTTGTGACTTCTAATTCTTTTCGACATCGTTCGTGCGCAATATTCTTTTGTCAAGTTGCTAGTCTGAGATTTGCATGAAATCTTGTATTTTTCTTGTTTAGGTTTTGTGCATATTTTATCATCATTACCACTATGATCATTATCATATTAGCAGATGCAGTCACTGCTATCAAATTTCCGCCACTGTGGTATGGTTTGGTGGATTTCTGCCTAACCGCCATTAGAAATTTGTGAAGGATGGTGGTTAGAAGGTACCACAGGCTGCCATGGCGGCAGCCTGCCGCCATTTTCCGACATCCGCCATTGATAACACTGGTTGTAGTAGAGTGGTGGTACATATTTTGTTAGTCAACTCAATTTGATACTCCCTGTATGCTTTTATTTGGTTGGTCCTGTGGGATAAATAATTTGTTGCCTTGTTGCTTTTCTCCACATTGTCCCATTGTGACGAATTGAGCTTATACTTAGTTTGTTTCATGGAACTGTACTAATTAAACTTCGATTCACGTTTTGCTGGAATGATTTAATTTTCAATATTAGATGGAAAAACAAGCAGAAGATTATTCTTTGTCATCTACTCGCCTGCAACCGAACCCTGGCGCGGCTGTTGAAAGTCGTAGTGCATCACATTATGTTCGGATGTCTCAGCCAGATAAACCAACTCACATGTCAATAAATCCTATAACATCCCAATCTGCGTCACCTTTAGGCCATAGCAGTACAATCAATTCTTCATCTTTGCCGTATCAGCTTCCAACTAGTGAGATAAGACCAATAGGTTCCAGTTCGTTGTCCTCTAGCCATTATTTGGGTTCTGCAGCGTTGCCAAGAGTTGACCGGCCACATCTTAAATCAGATCTTAGAGCAAATGGATCTTCACACCCTATACATCTTCAAGGTAATGCGTTATTGCTTCAAGTTGTTAGACTATCTGTTTCTCATCATACCATGAAACTCTTTGAAACTGGAATTTGAAATATCATATTAGTGGTTTGCGCTAATTGTGGTTCACATAGGCAATTGCTTGTGTTTCTGTGGATTGCTATTCTATTGGCCGAAGTCCTCATGCTGCTAACATCAACAATTATTCTGTTTCTCTTTTCTCTCAAAAACTTGACATTTTCTTCAGAAGTTACATTATATTATTGGCTCTAGAAATCTATTGGAACTGAAACTGGTAAAATTTCCTCCTTGAGTGCTACTTCATGCAACAGGATGGCTCTTTGAAACTGCTCACTCTTATCTACATCTCGTTCTTATTTGCATTTTGTTGTTTGATACTATTGCTTATTTATATTTCAGCAAATTACTCTAACTCAACCGCGATAACTCCAACTTGGTCAGTGCAACAGCAGTCAGCATTGCCATCAAAAAGTGTGCCAGATAACAAGATGCCTGTGGGTATGTCCCCCAAAGTTGAGGGAGCTGGTACTGTAAAATCTGGAATGACACCTCAGATGATGTCAAGGACAGCTGCTCAGACAATAGGAACACCTTCACAAGGCACTACTAACCACGCTCAGCCATTTCTTGCAGGAAATACACATGCTGAAATTGGTAAAATTGTCCAGAAATTATTACAACCACGAATTTCTGAGCGACCTACTTGGAATCCACCTTCTAGAGACTATATGAATAAGGCTTTGACTTGTCAAGTTTGCTTGTCTATGGTAACCGAGATAGAAAGTATACTCATTTGTGATGCTTGCGAAAAAGGTTATCACTTGAAATGCCTCCAGATGTCTAATCCGAAGGGAGTACCAAGAGGGGAATGGCATTGTGGAAGGTGCCTGTCTTTAAGCAATGGCAAGCCTTTGCCTCCTAAATATGGCCGTGTCATGAGAAACGCCAATACAGCAAAAGTGTCCTCTAATAAAGTGGCTGTTCCATCGACTTCAATTAAGCAAGTTGGTTCTTCAGATGAGAATGTTGGCCAGCCGAAAGTAATAGGCAATGAGAACAATGAGAAGGAACATGTTCCTAAAGTTTTAAGCGATAATCATGACAATCTGACATCTGGGTCGGAGAGCAAAGGCAGTACGGGAATCCAGGAAATTGATAATGTTTCGACTAGGCTTAACATGGACGATAAAGGATCTTCTAGAACTCACCCAAATTTGATAGAAAATTCTAGTTCAGCTACTGCTTCATCTGTCGACTCATTTGTTGAGAAAACAAGTGTTGAGAAGGTGGACAATCCAGATTCGTCTTCGGATTTAGTTATGGTCTCGAATCCCTCTGATAAGTCACAGGCAGTCATCAATGCTGCTAAGGAAAGTCCATCAAATCAGTCTCTGGAAAATCAGTTGGCTGATTCAAAAGAATGTCATGTTAAAGAAAGTCCTCCAGATCAGTATATGGAAAATCAGTCGGCTGATTCAAAAGAATGTCATGTTAAAGAAAGTCCATCAAATCAGTCTCTGGAAAATCAGTTGGCGGATTCAAAAGAATGTCATGGTAATGAGTCTTCAGACAATGCTAAACAGCTGAAGGAGCAAGAAGTTGTACGCGATAATTCTTCAGAAGTTGCTACAACTGCTGGTGCAATGACCCAAGGTGGGTCTTCATCCGTCGGTTTGCATGTTGCCAACTGGATTGGTGAACCAATTCAAGTTTTGGATGAAAAAGTCTATTACTCGTCTTGCTCCATCAAGGGACATGTGTATAAAGCTGAGGATCACGTTCTTATTCAATTTGACAATGGCAAGCTTATACCTTCAAAGCTACAGGTGAGCAATATTTTGTTGAAGCAGAATAAATTTAGAAGTGTTTGACATGACCGCAAAGGGTCAAACTTCCACAAATTTCTGTATTTAGTCTGACCCATCATGTTTTCATAGTTTCAGTTTTCACAGGTCGATTATTTTAATCTCTACTTTACCTTCTTGTAGAGCCCGTCTCAGATTTTTGTATTTTCTTCTGGAATTAGTAATATTGCTTCTGCATTTATTGCTTGCAGGAAATGTGGGAAGATAAAAATACTTCTGAGAAATGGGTCACTGTAAACCAGTGCTACTTTCCTAGTGATTTGCCTGAAGCTGTTGGCCGTCCCTGCGGCCTGGAAAGCAGTGAGGTGAAGTTCTATTTCATTTACTTCTAATTGAATTTCATATTTTATTCGAACTTCAAATTTGCGACTTGTGGAAGCATCATTGACTTAAGATATCCTGCAGCTGTAGGTGAACTACCTCATTACCATTAAAAACCAATATGGAGGCAACATGTTTGCTGAAGCATTATTTGATTATCTTTGTAAATTTGCAGGTGTACGAGTCTACTTGTGGTAGAGCATTTTTGGCTGGCTTAATAGAAAGCCCTTGTAAAGTCCTTCCTCCAAGAGGATATGCTGAAGAAAGTGAAAGGAGAACTCGATTAGGGAATCAGCTGAACGATCATAATCTTCCTCCACTTTATGTGTGCAAGTGAGCTCATTGCTTAATGTATTTCTACTATTCAGATGCATATCATAGGCCTCTCTACTTTTCTGCACGCTGCGATCTTTGTCCTTACCTAGTGAATGCAATTTAGTTACTAGTGAATTTCTTGCTTATGGGATGAATGTCACTTTTCGTTGCACTTTCCAACACACTTTGCCATGATAGCTAATATAAGCTATTCATATATTGTCCAACAAATCATTTAGTTGTGATGCCGAAAATTCTCATTATACATTTTTAGTAAAGGGTCAGTGTAAACGATTAAATGTTATTATGTAGAGAAGTAGAGCAAAGAACTCCTTGGAAAATAACCTCACACCCAAGCTAAAAACCAACATACATTTTTTTTCTTTGATGCATAATCTTTCTTCCTCACTCCCTTTAATAAGATCACAATTTATAAAAGGTAACAAGATAAAGAAAAAGTAAGACTTAAGATAATGGTTCGATTGCCTTCCATGCCCGAAGGGCCAGTATTCTTGTATTCCACCTAATCCCATGATTTGGGCTTCCTATAATGCGTCACTGGTTTTATTTCTTTCCAGCTTTCCCTTTCCTCGAGTAAAACAACCCACTTTTGTCGATCTCTATCATATATTTCACCCAGAAAGTTTGTTTTCATTGTCACGGTTAAGTTTCGACGTCCCGGCGTAGTAATAGATATATAACTTATGTTCGTAACAGCATGTTGTCTGCTCTGACATACTGCTGTAAATACATTATTTTATGATCTGTAACATCAAATATTGAAGATCTTGGGCTTACAGGAATAGGGATATGAATATTCACAATGATATGTATCTACCAATTATTTGAAGTATCGGGTACTTTTAGTCTTCCCTGAAAGGAAGTGTAATATTGTAGTGGAAGATGAAAAGATTTGAGAAGAGAAGTTGCTGTATATATGCAAATGGAGATTTATTTATTTATTTATTTATTTATTTTTTATTTATTTTTTAATTATTATGCAGCGTGAAAAGACTGAATTTGGCATTTGATATCATCTGAAAAGATTTGTTTTCCCGTCAAGTCTTCACTATATTCGATTTATATGGTGACTAATTTATAGTATACTAGTTTCATGTCTCTTGATGTGTTGTTTTCTTTTTGGCAGGTGGATTTACGACGAAGCGAAAGGGCTATTCCGGGATATTTCGTGCTAACACAGGCCCGTCAACCACATTAGGTAAGAAAAATTGTGTTGTTTTGAAATATCAAATCTCGTCGGTTGATGCAGTTTTATATTATCTCTGCATCATTCCTTTCAGAAGATAATATTGCTCGAGCGAGCGGCTAAAAACATCGGGTGGAATTAAAAGCATGAAGAAACAGATTGGTGGAATTGAGTTTGTGTAAAATATTTGTAGGTCGACTTTTAGACACTGTATCATTTAAACATGGGTAGATGGATGGATTCAGTGAGAGAGCCTTTTCTCAACGCGGTTTGGTGTTTTTCAATTTGAAGTAGAAGAACTCCTACATGATTGCTGGATGTATAAATGTGACTAGTAAATTTCCTTTGTTTTCCAAACATTCACATTAGTAGAATTTTGATGTGATTTGGGTCCAGCTTTTCAGTTAAGGCCCAATCGAGACCCAACCGCCATGTTCGTCTTTGATTTGTGGCCAAATTTACAAGCATCGTTTCCTATGCTCGGCCACCGGTCACCACCTGAGGCCGGTAACCACCAGTCACCACCTGAGGCCGGTAACCACCAGTCATCATTTATATTCCTGTGCATCGTTTCTTCTTCTAAGATTCATCTGTAAATTGTGTTTCAGAATGAAAATCTAAAGATGAAATCAAAACTTTTTTCTTCACCTTATCCACACATTTCTTTTTTTTTTTTTAAAATAAAAAATAAAAATTGCGACGTGTAGGGCTTTATTTTTTTAGAGAGTTTTCATTTTTTTACCCTTTCCATAAGGGCTTTCTCTTTGAGAGAATTTTGTTTTTACCCTTACCATAACATCAAATTTAGAGATGTTAAATGAGTTAGCCTTGGCGGTTTCAGGCTAGCCTTGGCAATTTCGGGCTAGCGGTGCAGGTCTAAAAAGTCCGAATTTAAACGGTCTACCAAGAAAGGGATTTAACCCTACTAGGGCTCAACGGGCTACACGGACTATAATAATAATAATAATAATAATAATAATAATAATAATAATAATAAGAATAACAATAATAATAATAAATTAGAACGACTAGTTAACGATTGTTTTCAATGATTATTTAGTATTTACCGTTCTATACAAAACTATACTTCATATATACTTCATATATATGACCGCTCTATTAAGGACATATTTTTTTCTAAAATGAAAAAAAATATTTGCACTATTACTTAGAATTACCAATTTTACTACTTATTTTGTACCTTTTAGAAATTTTTACGGTATATCTTACTTTTGAATTTATATTCTATCATTATATTCTATGTGTCAGGTATTTGTCTCTTGTGTTTGTATTAGTTGTTCTGTGACTTAAATATTTGGTGTAAAATAGAATAACAAAATTTTTAATAATTATTTTTCAAAATCATAATAACCCGTACTCATACTTACATATGTAGAATAGAAAAATTGTAATATGCAAGGAATCTTGGGGCATATTCTTTATCTGTTGCAAACAGTTATACCGTCCAACTCAAGTTAAACAGGCTAGCCCTAACGGGTTTCAGGCTAGCTTATTGGGCTTCAAGCTAAAAGGTGTGGGCCTAAAAAGTCCTGATTTAAAAGGACTACCAATAAAAGACCTTAACCATATTATTTTAAGGCTAAATGGGCAGACCCGTCGGGCCAAGGACCGTTTTAACATCCCTAATCAAATTATTTCCCCGCGGAGGGCCTTGTTTTTGCCATTATATTATAAGATAATGAAACAGACAGATGAAAAAAGAAAAATATGAAACGACAGAAGAAAATATAACGGATAAAGATGAAAAAATAATAAAATATATGAAACTAATATTAAAAAAAAAACAAAAAAAACATTAATTATAAAGAATCGCCCAAAAAATACTTAATTGTAAAATACTTTACATAGTTTTACAAAGGCTCAATAAATGTATAAAAAGGAAGACTATATATTATACACCAAATCTCTAGATACCAAATATTATATCTACCAAAAATACAATATTCACAAAATCACATTAACACCTTCCTCAAGTTGAAGCATGTGGATTCCGAATGCCCAACTTGCCGAGAAAGAAATCAAATTCGTGTTTTCCCAAGGCCTTAGTGAAGAATCCGTTAATTGTGAATGAGCATGAGCCGCAGAAATGAGACATTGAACAAGAGCATCACGAAGAAAATGACAATCGACGTCAATATGCTCTGTGCATTCATGAATTACAGGATTAGCAGCAATGTGCAGAGCTGCTTGACTGTCACAATTAATCTGCATGGGCTGAGAATGAGCGACGCCAATGCTGTGAAGTAATAAATCCTTCAACCACTTCAACTCACAAGGGTCGCCATGGCTCGATACTCGACTTTAAAAAAATTTTGGTTGCTCTGATACCATTTCAAAGGCGTAAAAAATGATTCATTCCCAACTTACTTTACAGAGTTTTACAAAGGCTCAATAGAATTAAAAAATTTCTCTAATTGCATAAAAAATTTAAAATGACACTTGTTTTGCAATCATAATCGCATAATTATTTTCATTGATTAATTTCCATAGAATTAAAAATTTTCTCTAATTGCTCCCTTTTTTCTTAAAAATGAGAATCACATGTTATTCTGATGCGTATCTTTCAAATGAGAAAGTTTGCAAGGTATTTAAAATCCGGCCTATAAATTTTTAAATTATTAAATTTGATACTCATTTTAAATATTTTCAAAAAATACTGAAAAATAATTAATCTATCTATAGTATAAAGTTGGCAAAATTAATAAATAAGATTTGGTATAAAGTGTGCATTTTTATTTGAGGTATCTCATGACCATTTTTATTTTTTGTAGGAAATGTATTGTTATTAATAAGGTATGCAATAGAAAGGTATTTGGAAATTTTGAAAACAAAATAAGTGGTATGAATTTTATTGTGTACGAGTATGAAAATTGAATTTCATGTTGGTTTGTTATAAAACCAAGCTAATATGATTCTCAAATTTTATCATATTCTTATAATACTTTGTCATAAGATATTAATGGAAATATGACAAATTGGTATGTATTCCTCTTGAAAATCAGAAAGATATTTGAACAAATATTGATTAAAAAAATTGTAATTTAATTCTAGTGAATTAGTTGATAAATTTGAACGATAAGGTAACCGACAAAAAATCTACAAAATTGCAAGAGAATATATATATATATTTATTATATATTATATATACGAGAATTTAATGTGCAGATGAAATTTGAGTTCCAAATTTAAAAGCCACATAAGCAATTATTTACAACTTACGGGCTAGTATTAACTTGGTCGTAAATGAAACAGTTCATTGGTTATAGTTCAATAGATTACTTAACTACTTATATTTTTTTTTTTTGATAGCTTATATAAAAAAATATAAGTTTTATAATTATACTTATTATAATAGATTTTTTTAATTATATGATACAATTTTTCAAAATAATTATTATATGAAATCACATTGCAGTCAAGTTGAATTTCAGAATAAAAAATTTAAAATGACACTTATTTTGAAATAAATATAATGTGATTTATTATCAGTTATATTCAACGTACGTGTTGAGTACTAATTTTAAAGATATATGTTTTATATAATTTTCACAATTTAAATTTCAAATAATATTTTCATTAAATTAATAGAGTTAAATTGTGATAAGGGAAAAAAATATACATTTATTAGGCGACACGTGGCTCGGGAGAATAAAGACGCGTGTATTCTGAGAACCGTTAGAGTCCAGGATTAATGTCGAAGCCCAACATCAATTTAGGCCTAAGGTCCCGAAGAGCTTTACTCTGGGCCCAACATCCTGAAGTTAACTACTGTAGGCCCAAGGCCCAGAGGAACTTTGGGCCCAAGGTCTGGGGTCAGCCCACCAAGCTAATGGGCTGAGAAGTCCTCTGTCTGCAGAAGTGAGACCTAGGTCGTCCGACTCCTATAAAAGAATGACCTAGGTCAATGTCGTCTGACTAACGTCAAGTAATTCTTGTATCATCAAATTGTAATACATATTGTGTCCATATTTTTAATTTATAAATACTATTTTATTAATATTTGTAATTTATAAATATTAATGAATATCTCTTACCCGTGTATCACACGGGATTTGTACTAGTTATCTCTATAGAAAATGCAATATTGACAATATCACATTAACATTCAAAGAAAATCGTTTTAATATCGATAACAGTGTTTAAACAAGTGTTACTTATTTATGTGTTAATACTTACGCAACGTTTTTAACAAGTGTTACTTGAACTAACCCACCCGGCCGGCTCATTACCCACTATCATGTACATGCAAGTATGCTAGTTGCAACACGTAACTTCACATATAATCCGAAAATACTTAGAAAAAGACATCAAATTGAAGCATATCCCTCTCTATATATTAATTCAAAACGTGTTGAGTCTAGGTGGCAGATTCTCACGTTTCGGATGCTGACATTGCGAAAATCTATGCTTCGTGATGTTGTTTTTATATTATTTTTGCTTTGTAGTTAGGTTTGGTATTAGACATAAATAACTTTACACATATATTTATTAACATAACACCCATGTTGTACATGAGTACTAATACTAGTATACATAGTAATAGAGACTTGTAGGAAAATGATATAGGTTTGTAGAGAAGTGTTATACTATAATGATAATATATAGAGTATTGGTCTAAGAGTTAATATAATAAAAATTCTCATCTGACAAGATAAGAACCAGAGGATTATACTACAGTATGGTATAAATACTAGGAAAGACATAAGATTGAAGCATATGTTATTAGGTTTGTATATAGTTTAGTTTCTAAAAAAATTTTATGCAATAACAAATAATATGAATTAATATAATAACATATATAAATAATCCATGAATTAATATAATACAATATATGAATGATCTAATCATCATTGAAATTGAGAAGAATTGTCCACTTGAATGCGACCATTTTCCCCTGTTTCCCAAACGAAAACATTAAAGATTTGGGTTTACTCGAACGCTACCATCTTCCTCTTGCTCATCGATGAA